TCTGCAAAAAGAAGCTGAGAACTTGTTTACTGATTTTTTATTAAAAGCTTTGTGTGAAAAATGCTATGCTAAAGAGCTCAAACCACACCAAGCGTCTGCCACTTTGAGAACCAAAAAAAAAAAGGAAAGAGAGACAGCCCATGTCACGTCAAGGGGCCTCCCTCCCATTTTTCTTAAAGAGACACGCTGCTCGCTCCTTCACTATCCATCCTTTGGTTAAAACAGTCTTATACTGCCAATAAGACTCAAGAATAAAAAAAAGAAAAAAAGAAAAAATAATCATAATAATCATAATTACAATAAAAAAATAAGAATAAAAAAAAGTACTACACTCAAAACAAATTAACCAACATTTCTTCTTAAATTTGACAATAATTACTAATTATTGTCAAATTTCAAACAATATTATTGTTTATCTCAATAATTTCTGAGACAATTAATCGCCCAGCAAAATTTGTTATCGTGACAGGCCTAATTTTTACTATAACCATTATTATATACATAAAGTAATTGTCTTTAAGTCAGGAGGAGTATCTTCACGATAACAATTTGAAACAAATAAGGTTATAAATACATGCTAGTGATGGGGGTAGCCTACAAATAGTATTTTAAAAAGCTTTTTTTTCTACTTTACACCATACTTGTGTTCTTTTGTCTAGCTAAAAGCGGTACTCATCTCCAAAAAAGGTTATTTTCAGATTTCCTCTATTATCTCCCACTGACTCTGGGAGCGATATTTTCATGACTACATTTACATAGAGTCTAACTGTAATTTAATCACAATTTCAGCAAAGTGGTTCTAACCTACAGCAATTATGTTATATTCACAAAACGGCTGTTTAACAATTTGATGCTACCCCTTAAAGACTCATGTATAGCTACAACATTAGTCCCATTACACTCAGTTTACCAGCTTGTCAGTCAGAGATCTGGGTGTGTGGAATAAACATCCAATTAAACACATTATGTGCTTGTTTTGTAAGATTATATTCCGACTTCACACTGTCCAGGGTAACAAGGGAATCATGGGATATTGAGTGTTAAAGAGTTGCAAGTGTTAATTTGGCTATGTTAGAAAAAAGTGATAAGAATTTAAAACTTGATGTTAGGTGTAAACTGCTCTGTTTTCCTGAGCAGAGGAGGTGGACATGTGGCTGGGACTCAGGGGCCCAGCCCTCTATCCTTCCTGTTCAGTTACCAGAGGCCTCCCACTTATCAGTTCCAGATCTCACAAGAACAGAGAAAAAGAGACCACTGACAGGAAGGGGATTTTTTTTTTTCCCCCCCCCCCCCCCCCGCTTCCTTTAGACAAGTTAACAGAATGTCTGCACCTTCACATTTCAGAGAGGAAAGCAGTTACTCATTAGGGCTAGCACTGAAGCTGCAAGAGGAAGAGCGCAACCTGGCAATCCAGATATCTCTTAAATAAAACCTGAAAACCGGTTCATCATCAAACGAACAGTTATTAATAAAAGGTTTTTTAAAAATCCCATAAATTCTTAATAAATTAATTGCATTATCATTTTAGCTGCAGCCTTTAAGGCAGTTTATCTCTACCAGCCTCAATCATTAAAGTATTAAAGTTTAGTTTTACTCCAACCTCTACATTTCCCCACCGCAAAGGCAACGCACCAAGGATAAAGTCTGGCACTGACAGTGAGAGAACAGACTTTGAAGCACTCATGTCATGTCCCCGTTCATGTCACATCCCCCTCCGTTTCACTTGCTATCAATGTCTACCATGGCATGGCATTTCCACAATAATCACTTTGGTTTATCCCACTCTGCTGCGTGGCAGGCAGATGTTTGTCAGGGCACCATATTTCTCAACATTCGCACAGCTCTAATCAAGATTAACCCCTCTTATCTATTCACTGAGAGAGAGTGTGTGTGCGTGTGTGTCCTGGATGTCCTAATTCCTAATCCATGACTGTATTGTATAATACAGTGAACAATCCTATTAGATTGCATTTTCTCTAAATATTTCTCTATTTTAGTGGAATGTACTGCCCTTTGTAACTTAATGAAAAAGGTAGCCATGACCTTGTGCGTATGTGTGTCTGTGTGCAAGCCTAGAACATAAGCACTTTGTTACTCAGCACCCCCCACACCCCTCAGGAGCTCCTGATGAAATCAACATGCTCTGCTAACAGAGCTGACACTGGCCACACACAAACTGCAGCCATCACATTTTTAACAAAGACATTAGAGTATGGGGGAGGAAAGACGGTGTCAGAGCAGACAAAGCTGTACTTTAAGTCACTGTTGTGACAAGAAACTCTGCAATACTTTATGATTGATCAGGGCTGGAAGAAGAAGAAAGATGATGCCCGTCTTTCCTTAGTGAAAACATAAAAATGTGTTCATACAATTCAGTCTTGTGCTCTCAATTGATGAGTTTAATAATATTGCAACCATCTTGTAAAAGATGCTATGAATAAATAAATTTTACCAAAATGTTACCAAGTCAGTGATGTTAAGCCAGTCACAATTTTCACAATGTATTTCTTTTTAATACACATGCTCATGTACACCGTAATTAATTACCGTAAACATTAGAAAAAAACTGAATTACATTAGAAAAAAATTGAATTATTCAAAAATTAAACAATTTCCGTTTTTTCAAATGTAATTCCGTTTTTTTCTAATGTGATTCTGTTTTTATTCTAATGTAATTCTGTTTTTTCTAATGTGATTCTGTTTTTTTCTAATGTGATTTCATTTTTGCTAATGTGATTCTGTTTTTCAAATGTAGTTCGTTTTTTTTCAAATCTAATTCTGTTTTTTTCTAATGTGACTGTTTTTTCAAATGTGATTGTTTATTCAAATGTGATTCCATCCATCCATCCATCCATTTTCTTCCGCTTATCCAGGGTCGGGTCGCGGGGGTAGCAGCCTAAGTAGGGAGGCCCAGACTTCCCTCTCTCCAGCCACTTGGGCCAGCTCTTCCGGGGGAACCTCGAGGAGTTCCCAGGCCAGCCGAGAAACATAGTCCCTCCAGCGTGTCCTGGGTCTTCCTCTGGGCAAATGTAATTCCGTTTTTGCTAATGTGATTCTGTTTTTCAAATGTAGTTCAGTTTTTTCAAATGTAATTCTGTTTTTTTCTAATGTGACAGTTTTTTCTAATGCAATTCTGTTGTTCAAATGTAGTTCGGTTTTTTCAAATGTAATTTCGTTTTTTTCTAATGTGACTGTTTTTTCAATTGTGATTTTTTTTCAAATGTGATTCCATTTTTTCAAATGTGATTCTGTTTTTTCTAATGTGATTCTGTTTTTCTAATGTGAT